CCCCCCCCGTCTAATCAACATCAAATGCAATTCAAAAAAAAAAAAAATACAAAAAATACAACGACCCTGGAAACGTATGCTGACTGATTAGGTTGAGTGCGAGGCCGAAAATAGCAACTCGTGTCCCTCGGAAATGGGGTGCACGAGTTGGTTTTACACGTGCGTACACCGAACGTTTTAACGTGTTGTTGCCCTCGTCAGAAAATCTTCGGTGGCCGGAAACATGTTCTCGTGGGCTTGGTGTCTATATGGCACTGCACTTAATAAAGAGTTGATGGAATGAAAACCGTTGTCAGATATTCGGGTCTTTGGGGACACAGGTTATGTTATTCCCTCTTAACACAGCAGCACGAACCCCCCCCCCCTTTTTTTTTTCCCCCCAGTCATTACGGGGAAACCTGGTGCAGTCTAAACACATGTGGCTTGTTATGATTAGGGTTCAAATGTCGCGCATCGAGGTGCACTTTAAGAATTTCGCGGTGTGTTTGTATTTAAAATAACGTTATTCGAAACATGAAATACGTCGAGAAAATCATGGGTTGAACAACCAACCTTCAAAGAATTGGTCAGAAAACAAAATACCTTGCCAAAAAAAAATCATCAAGTGGTTGCATTAAGTTTTTCTATGTACAACTATTTTGAAACATCGGAAGGAGGGGGGGGGGCGGAACCATGGCAACACAGACTAGGGGTTCTCTCCCGGGATCCCGCTCGATTTGTATTGAACAAAAGACTTTTTGGGACATATTCTAGCTGATTGGGATGGCACAAACCATAATTTGTCTAATTTCCTGGTTCCGAATGTAGTCCCTTCTCGCAGTGGCGTAGCTATGGATTTGGGGGCGGGGGCTTGGCCTCTTTAGGGACCCCTGCATTTTGACATTCCACCTTATTTAATGTAAAAAAAAAATTCGGACACTCCTTTGGCCCCCCCCCCCCCCAAGAAGGGGTCCGGGGGGGGCCTTGCGAATTTGGCCCCCCCCCCACTAGCTACGCCACTGCCTTCTCGCTTTAACAGCTGCTCGCCTTAAACGTCTCATGGACGAGGTGAAGAGTTTTTAAAAGATGGTTTCCTATTCCGGGAAATCCCGAACATACACTTTTTAAAATAGTTATTTTGTTTTTTTGTTTTTTTAAATTTGGACAAGTGACAGATATTCACAGGTTATCGCTAAATGACGAGACCCGTATGCTCTTAGTGAACTGCGCTGAAGAACTAAGCTCAGTAGCTCAAGTAGTCAAGACCACACTAGTAGAAGCAAAGTATCCTTACCCCGATATATTGAGGGAAAAAAAGGTTTTAAATAGGGTAAAGAAAACATTTTAAAACTTAATTTTCCCGTATAATGTAATTGGCGACATATTTAACTTCATGATTTGACTTGTAACCCAAACTTTAAGAGACGTATTTAATTAAATAAAATAAAATTATTTCAAAAATCACTACTTCTCTTAGTAGAACGGCTCTCAACCTTTTTTCCCCCCTCCCGTGCCCCTCGCTTAAGACTTTCTATTTATGAGCACACCCCTTCCATCACCCCCACTCACTCTTTAAAAAAAAATAAGTATTTTAAATTAGATCATCTAAACAATCTTAAGACGCAGATTAAGCTAAAAATCTTTACAGGCTCCCCCCCACCCCCTTTTACACTTTTGACAAGTTATTAAATTATTTACAAATATAGTAGTTAGCGAATCTCTTAGGTACGGGGGGAATAAAACCACCAACAACGGGCTTAATACAAAATGAGATGTTTCTCATAATTAGCTTGGCCTGGATAGAACAATTTTCGTAGAGGCCTGCACTGTAACCCAAGCCATCGTGTTCAGCTTTGGCAAGTATAAGGAAACTGTGACGTATGAAGGGTGTGTGGAGAGGGCGGTCCGCCCCGGGTGGCACTTTCCCCCCCCCCCCTAACATGGAGGGGAAAGCATTTTCGGCCAAATGCAGGGTTATTATTTTTTTTTTCATGGAAGAGGGCGTCAGTGTTTTTTTCCCGCCCGGGGCGGCACTTAACCCTCGATAAGCCAATGTAAGGAAAATACACTGAANATAAGGAAACTGTGACGTATGAAGGGTGTGTGGAGAGGGCGGTCCGCCCCGGGTGGCACTTTCCCCCCCCCCCTAACATGGAGGGGAAAGCATTTTCGGCCAAATGCAGAGTTATTATTTTTTTTTTCATGGAAGAGGGCGTCAGTGTTTTTGTCCCGCCCGGGGCGGCACTTA